AAACTTTTTTTTTAAAGATTGCCTTCTTAGTTTTAAAATGCTTTTTTGAATATTTCTCTACGACAATTATAACCAGAGATATTAATTTGTAAAGTAGACGACTTTTTCATTTTTTAAGAAAATTGTATTGTTTATAACTTTTGTAAAAAAAATTTTTTGGACAAACAAAAAAATACGTATCTGCTTACTTTATGTATATTTCATGTAAAAAAAATTTCAATTGATTTAAAAAATACGAGGTCAAATCTTGTCCGATTTGACGTGGAATTGTCCACATTTGACTTTCATATCTTAATGTCATTGACTTTTATTGCATATTAAATTGTGATCGCGATCGTGAACCTAATCGCGGTCTGACCTACATTGTGACTAAAAGAATCTTTAGTAACCAGTCAGTGCACATATAACGCTTCAATCCAATCTTGTTTCTCCGCCAAAATATATTTATCTATTATCTTACTTGTTTTTTTAAATAAGTAATTGAGAGAGAGAGAGAGAGAGAGAGCTTAGTTCTCGTTCTATTGATCCAAGATTACGTACTATTAATCCTATATTAATTTTATCTTAATTATTACAGTTAGAAATAAATTTGTTTGTTTCAATAAACGCATAGAAAAATTATTAAATAACATCCCTTACACATATACTAACTAAATTTTAATTTTTAATAGGATTCTAATATTTTCTTTATAGTTTATTAAAAGACCATTATTGCATTGATATATTATCACAGAGAGACTTTTACTCGAAAACAATTGATCAGTTCAGATTTGCCAAATCATTTACGTCGGATGTCGATAGCCGATTGGCTCCGCACAATTTTCGGAGCGCAAACGGGGATTCGGAGTGCAAGCTGATAAAGCTTCGGTTCTTTGCGCGCTGCTCCGCATTCGCTTGTAAGTGTCGTAGCTAAGAAAGTGTCAGAATTTCTTTCGAGCGCGCACGAAATAAAAATTCCTTCCGCGCTCGTGCATATAACAACATTAATTCTAAATATAAAGTAGGTAAAAAATTATTACAAGTGTAATACGCATTTATACGAAAATGCAAATATGTTGTTTCGAAAATATATGCGCAGAAGATCTCTCTAGTTTTTGATATAATTAAACCAAAATTTATCTGTTTGACACTTTAATAAATAACTATAGTTACAATTTGATGGCCAGTGCGAGTCTGGGGTACGATCGTACGCGTGCGAAAAATCAAATTTTATAATACAAATAACAAATAATTATATTGTGAAATGTGATTTCCAAAATCGGTTTCGATCTCTACTGCTTGTGAGATTTTCATGGTGGTCTTTGATAAACTATACACTAGTGAGAATTAAATGCCTTTTTTGTTTCAGAAATCAGTCTGAAAAGGGCATATATCCGTACTGAACTACATTATAATTATTTGTATTATAAAATTTGATTTATCGTACAACCATGTTCCAGACTTCACTTGGTCATCAAATTACAACTTTACTTTTACATTTGTTTTCGAAATATCCTTAGAGATACGAACTTACTAAATGTTAATAATCTTATCGTAGAAACAATGTTGTTTGGGATATGTGAGAAACGTGTAAGAAACTACGCAAATTAATAAAATTAAAATTACATAATTCTATTAAAAATCAATAATATTTACTTTATGCTTCATGATTCCTAAACATTACACAACGAAATACGAAATAATTATATCGAAATCAACTGGAAGTTATGTGTGACTTAAACAAATTAAATCACAATATTAAAAATAAGTAGTTGCATTTATATCATATCCATATTATTATCAGATTTGATATTTATTATATTCAATTCTTTTTATTTTAGGAGAACTTGGACCTTCAGATATTTTCTCCGATAAAACGACCGAAAGTTTGATTGTACATGTAGACATTAAATTGTAATAATATTCTGATCACAAAAGGTAATTTTATTTTCGCTTAATAAATATATGTATTGTTTTGTAATATTTTGTGTCAAGTTTTAAATCAAATGTACAGTGTTGCAACGACATACAGGCCAGTATGACGGCTTGCCTATTCGTGCAGGCGCGCATGGTATTTCACAGTTGCGTAGGCTTTCGCGCATGAGGGTGCATTCGGGGAGCACGCTATTAGCACAATTATCGTCTAAAACTGTTCGAGGAGACGCTTTGTGGCGCTGTGATATACGATGATGACGTCACTGTAAAGGCAGCGTGACGTCATCACTCGCGCTATTTTCGCTATTATTTTCGAGGTGAGGCACAAATACTATTGGCGCTTAAGCTGCGTTCGGGGAGCTTGCTATCGCTGTCGCGCTATTGGCTCTTCGAACGAAGTTCATAGCGTTTGCGTTTATAGCGTTAATAGCGTCTCCCCGAATGCACCCATATATGTAAGTGATTATAATATGCCAAAGCCTACGCAGCTGTGAACGACCTGCGCACTTGCACGAATGGGCAACCCGTCATGCTGACTTGTATGTCGGTACAACAACCGGTACATAAGCGATAATGCTGTAATTTGTTTACTTATATCATAAATAATTAATAATATTATTAACAATTAAATTCTATATTAACTTAAGTAAATCTTCAATTTAACCTGCAAAAAACGATATCGTAATCTATTGAAGAATTGACATTTTTTATTTAGAAACTGTACGTATAATGACGTTCATACGCGGAGTGAGTTATTCAACACAAGTCAATATATATTAGCAATTATAGATGTACAAATATGCATTTTCTGGCTTTAAGATGTTCTGACTTTCCAAATTTTCTATTGGAAAGTATTCTGACATATAATTTTTCATATTGTACACATTTATTCGAGTAATCGATTTTATTATACTATCTTTAAAAGATAGTGTGTAATGAAAAAGATAGATAATAAATTACTGCAAAGTATATGGTGACAATAAAGTGGTACGATAAAAAAAACTATAACTTTAAGAAGTCATATTTCTGATATAAGAATGCAGAATACTGCAGAATATCGTTACGTAACTTACGATAAAGACTACACTTTACGAAGATATTTTTTAACGTATGTTCGACACAGTATTGGACTTACCTGAAATGTCTGAATCAAAATTCGGAAAATTTATAAGTGACGAGGTATTGACGAAAGAATCATACAAAACCGATTATGAAAGGAAAATCGTTTGGAGAAATGTCATTATTTTTACATATATTCATCTTGCTGGCATTTACGGGCTATACCTACATGCTTTGCTTCCAGGCTAAATATCAATCCGTTATATGGAGTATGTGTCATATTTAATTGTTTCTTTCCGCAATACTATAAGATTACTCTGTACTTCATCAAACCGTAATTTATAATTTATAGGTATTGCTAGTGGTGTCGTCGCGGGTCTAGGCGTTACCGCTGGCACTCATAGATTATGGGCCCATCGATCTTACGAGGCAAAATGGCCCATGAGATTTATTCTCATGATTTTTCAGACCATCGCCTTTCAAGTAAGTTTAACTTTTCTCTTCTTGCTTAAGTCGTATAGGATGACATATCTGAATAAACTAGAGATCCAAGCCCTGTACATCCTGTTTTCTTAATGAACTTTTTCAGTATAATTGTATCACCGTTCTCTGCATTACATTTTCCAGGATAATATTTATCAATGGGTCAGGGACCACCGAGTGCATCATAAATTTACCGACACCGACGCAGACCCGTATTGTGCGCGGAGAGGATTTTTCTTTTCGCATGTAGGGTGGCTTCTGATTCGTAAACATCCTGACGTCGCGAGCAAAGGTGCTACAATCGATTGCAGTGATCTCGAGCAAGATCCAATTGTGGTATTTCAAAAAAAGTACGATGGGTACAGCTCGTTCTCGCGGAAACGAGACCTAGCTGATTAGACATGATTTTAGTTAATCATATTGTTGTTATTTTTGCATTAACATTTTCTTCCTTAGGTGGTACATTTATTTGATGCCACTCTGCTGTTTTATCATACCAACATCAGTACCATGGTGGGCATGGAATGAAAGTTTGTGGTGTTCGTGGCACCTCGTAATATGCAGATATTGCATAAATTTGAATGGTACTTGGTCGGTAAATTCCGTGGCTCACATGTGGGGTATGAAACCATACGACAAGTACGTACTTGTGTCGTTTCTGTTTTATCAAATATACATGTATCTTTATTAAAATTAATGAATTGTTTACAATAAAATAATAATATAGTCTATATATTGATATGTAATATTGTGCTGTCATTTAAAAACATTTACTTTATTATGCAGATCACTTAGTTCCACCGAAAATACTGGAGTTGCTATTGTAACGTTTGGTGAAGGCTGGCATAATTATCATCACGCCTTTCCTTGGGATTATAAAACGGGGGAACTTGGAAATTATAGGCTTAATATCACCACAGCTTTCATCAACTTTTGCGCTTATTTAGGTTTGGCTTACGACTTAAAGACTGCATCTGCTGACATGATAAGGAAACGTGTTCTTCGAAGCGGCGAACGTATACGTATATAATATTCAAAGTTGGCAAAGTTACTTTGTAGAAGTATCTATGAGTTACAGTTATAATTTTTTTCACCGAAAAAATAACTAGTTACAGTTACAATAACTGAAAAATAATAACTCGTTACTTTCTAGTTACTTTTTAGTTACTTTTTGGCAATAATTGTGTACTATTATTTTAATATAGAGTAAAAAAACTCTTTTTTATATATAATATATAAAATAATTTTAATAAAAATTTTTATTAATTTTTAATAGAATTTGATATTCAATCAACTAAGTATTATAATAGGATAACACAACATCGACAGTTAAAAAAAATTTTTAGATTGACAGCATTTTTTGTATAATACAATACAGGAAAGTCCCCTATTATGAGATAGGCTCCTAATATGCGACAGCTAGGTTTCTGCTAAACTAATAGGCCCTATCTGTTGGTTCCACCATGAACTTATTGCCCTTGGGGTAAAATCTATTTAGTGGAAAATTCATTGTTTGATCGTGCGTGTAGTCGTTGCAGAGAAAGAAATTATGAAATTGGATGTTGTCAAGTGCCATGGATATGAGTCTTTAAACCTTGTTTATTATATTGAGTTGCTCAATTGTAGAGATTAGATTTGGTGATCGCGAAACCGCAAGGCGTGGTGCTCGTAACATGAGATACTCAGGGTACTCCTGGGTTGCTGGAGTATGAAAGTTATTGTATAGTAATAAAAGAAGAGAAAATACTATATTAACGTTAAGGGAAGGTTTATACGAATTTATAAGTCTGTGCTGATCTTGATTTGAGAGGGAAGGGTGGAGGGGGAAGATTAAGTACAATATTGAGTATAAGTGGGTTTATGATTGTTGCAAATATGCTTCTCCATTACATTTGTCTTTCAAAAACTTTAAATAAAGTTTTTTAATTGCAATATCATGTATTTTGCACTTTATTAGCGATTTCCCGGGGTCTCTCATATTAGAAGCACACTTTTGCGATTTTGCCGAAAGCTCATTTTTCACATTTTTCTAATTTTCAGCAAAATTAATATTTAAATTAAATTTTACATTTCAGCATCTTAAAGCTTATTAAATTCCCTTCAAAATAACCTACTATATTTTTCAATTCTGCCCATAGACTTCCGGCAATCACACAAAATAGATATGGTATCTCATAATCGGGTACTTTCCTCTACATCTACATTTCTGGCATGCTTACACGACCTTCGAACAAAGATACAAACGTTCCTTCGTTGTGACGAATATAATAATAAAACGGTCAATTTACGTCAAATACATTCCAAATTATTACCATGGGACCCCCACCCATCTGTCTTACTGTGAACAGAATATATAAAACATCTTTATAAAGGAAATATTCCACTTGACGCTCGCAACACTCTTAGAATTATTTTATGCTTGCACTTTGTCAAATGCTAAACAAGGACAAATAATGCTCTCGAGTGTTGTGAGCACCAAACTGGAACGTACCTAAATACTCTTGTTTATTTAAAACTTTTATGCACATGATGCATTCATGCACATCACGAACATATGCCCTGCCGAAATATATTAACTTTTATTCGAATGATGATACTGCCAAATAATTATAATTAACTAAATCCATTAATATATTTAATATACATGTTAGGTACAGTAGGCTAAATCTGAATCTTTATAATAATCCAATTATTAATGCATACAATTATAAAGAACGCTGGTTTAGAAATAAGCGTTACAATATAATAGTCTTAAATTAAATTGATTTATATATACATATATAATATATATGTATTATATATATATATATATATATATATATATATATATATATATATATAGTAGCTACATTGTATTTTCAAGGACTGTGATTTTAATTCATTCAGTTATGTGATAATATTTAATTCATTTACTCGATTATGTAGCTCTACTAAATAGTTAAGTTTTCGCAAACATTTGGAGGGAAAATAAAAATACATGAATAGTTTAATGACTTGAATATAATAATTACAATATGAAAATACAAAACCATACTTTAATTCATTACGATAACAATCAGAAACAGTATTAAAATATTAATCCATGATCAGATCCTCTAACAGAAATCTATTTACAAATATTATATGTATCATCTCTTGTCATTTCTTGAAGATAACTGTACAAAAATAAATATATACAATTATATCGATTATAATCACGTATTATTTATAGATTTGATACAAGTTGGATCCATGTATGTAATATTTTCGGGAAAATGGTCTATTATAATAAACTTTTTCTCAGTCGATCTGTTCAAGCAGTCAAGAAATCCGATCCAATAAATAACTAGTCCAGACCCGAATCTGTTCCAGTAGTTTCCAGTTTTGCATCGTTTTATATTCTTCATGTGTTTTTAATACATGAATTATTACTTATTTGAAAATTAATAATTAGTGGATAAGGAATAATCACATTGTCAGGTAAATTTTTTATTTTAAAAATAATAATTGATTTAATATAAATAATTTAATTATTGCAGATAAACATGATTTAAAAAACATGTTAATATTATATATATGTATATATACGATATATGTATATGTGTATTTATATCTACCTAACATAGAGAATTCACAAGAATAACATTAAATATAATAAATACGTATTTAATCAATAAATACATATTTAATAAATTTCAAAAATAGAAGACAATAGTTCTATATTATAACTATTATTACATTTAATGTTATAGCGATTCTCTATATAATACAAATATAAATACACATATATGTATATTTGTAAAAAATAAGAGGTTTTATATATATATATATATATATAAATTTAATAAAAAGTTAATTCGTTGTTATTATAAATTTGTGAATAATTAAAAAATAACAAATGGAAATTTTTTGCCGATACTTGCTTATCACTACAAAATGCATGATATCAGTACAAAATTACCTTTTTCAAAAAAAGGTAAAAAAAAAAGGCGCCAAGTAGACGCGCAATGTATGTTGTAAATCTAAAAATCTTAAATGGTAGTAGCTTTATTTCTCCCTAACAAAATAATTCACAAAATTGCGTTACCTAATTCAACCTAAGTGATACGTATTTCAAAAAAAGATGTGAAATCTTTAAATTGCGCTAATTGCAAAGAGAATATATATACTTTGAAAAATAATTGTTGTGCAACTACTTTTAAAAAATAAAACAAAATTGTGTTACCTAACTCAGCCCAAGTGGTATGTATCTTTGTATTCCTGAGAGTCTTTCTATCAACCCAAGTGGTAGTAGCTTTAATTCTCCTTGATAAAATTATAATATTACAAAGAATTATTTTAATCACAAAGAATTAAAGAGGTAACATTATAAAATAAAAATATTTAATTAAAATAAAATAAATAAATTTTT